CGCTGCCAGTTTGTCGAATCGAGCGAAGAGTTCGTTGAGCGTCATGACGAGCTCCTGAGCCGTGCACTGAGACGCCAGACTGGTGAAGCCCTCGATGTCTGCGAACAGGATGCTGAAAGACCCACGGCAAAGGTCACACACACACACACACACACACACACACACTGGGTTATGGGACTAACACTAATACTGGGCAAAAATAGTAGTAGCAGTAGGAATAATTGTATTAGCATTAGCAGCAGCATAATATAATAATAATACATCTCCACATGTTGGTACTCGGCTTTAATGCCCTGTTTTTAATGCACCACACATACACAACTGCTTTAATGCACCACACATACACAACTGCTTTAATGCACCACACATACACAACTGCTTTAATGCACCACACATACACAACTGCTTTAATGCACCACACATACACAACTGATTTAATGCACCACACATACACAACTGATTTAATGCACCACACATACACAACTGCTTTAATGCACCACACATACACAACTGCTTTAATGCACCACACATACACAACTGCTTTAATGCACCACACATACACAACTGCTTTAATGCACCACACATACACAACTGCTTTAATGCACCACACATACACAACTGATTTAATGCACCACACATACACAACTGATTTAATGCACCACACATACACAACTGCTTTAATGCACCACACATACACAACTGCTTCAATGCACCACACATACACAACTGCTTTAATGCACCACACATACACAACTGCTTTAATGCACCACACATACACAACTGCTTTAATGTACCACACATACACAACTGCTTTAATGCACCACACATACACAACTGATTTAATGCACCACACATACACAACTGATTTAATGCACCACACATACACAACTGCTTTAATGCACCACACATACACAACTGCTTCAATGCACCACACATACACAACTGCTTTAATGCACCACACATACACAACTGCTTTAATGCACCACACATACACAACTGCTTTAATGCACCACACATACACAACTGCTTTAATGCACCACACATACACAACTGCTTTAATGCACCACACATACACAACTGCTTTAATGCACCACACATACACAACTGCTTTAATGCACCACACATACACAACTGCTTTAATGCACCACACATACACAACTGCTTTAATGCACCACACATACACAACTGCTTTAATGCACCACACATACACAACTGCTTTAATGTACCACACATGCACAACTGCTTTAATGCACCACACATACACAACTGCTTTAATGCACCACACATACACAACTGATTTAATGCACCACACATACACAACTGATTTAATGCACCACACATACACAACTGCTTTAATGCACCACACATACACAACTGCTTTAATGCACCACACATACACAACTGCTTTAATGCACCACACATACACAACTGCTTTAATGCACCACACGTACACAACTGCTTTAATGCACCACACATACACAACTGCTTCAATGCACCACACATACACAACTGCTTCAATGCACCACACATACACAACTGCTTTAATGCACCACACATACACAACTGCTTTAATGCACCACACATACACAACTGCTTTAATGCACCACACATACACAACTGATTTAATGCACCACACATACACAACTGCTTTAATGCACCACACATACACAACTGCTTTAATGCACCACACATATACAACTGCTTTAATGTACCACACATACACAACTGCTTTAATGCACCACACATACACAACTGCTTTAATGCACCACACATACACAACTGATTTAATGCACCACACATACACAACTGATTTAATGCACCACACATACACAACTGCTTTAATGCACCACACATACACAACTGCTTTAATGCACCACACATACACAACTGCTTTAATGCACCACACATACACAACTGCTTTAATGCACCACACATACACAACTGCTTTAATGCACCACACATACACAACTGCTTTAATGCACCACACATACACAACTGCTTTAATGCACCACACATACACAACTGCTTTAATGCACCACACATACACAACTGCTTTAATGTACCACACATACACAACTGCTTTAATGCACCACACATACACAACTGCTTTAATGCACCACACATACACAACTGCTTTAATGCACCACACATACACAACTGATTTAATGCACCACACATACACAACTGATTTAATGCACCACACATACACAACTGCTTTAATGCACCACACATACACAACTGCTTCAATGCACCACACATACACAACTGCTTTAATGCACCACACATACACAACTGCTTTAATGCACCACACATACACAACTGCTTTAATGTACCACACATACACAACTGCTTTAATGCACCACACATACACAACTGATTTAATGCACCACACATACACAACTGATTTAATGCACCACACATACACAACTGGTTTAATGCACCACACATACACAACTGCTTCAATGCACCACACATACACAACTGCTTTAATGCACCACACATACACAACTGCTTTAATGCACCACACATACACAACTGCTTTAATGCACCACACATACACAACTGCTTTAATGCACCACACATACACAACTGCTTTAATGCACCACACATACACAACTGCTTTAATGCACCACACATACACAACTGCTTTAATGCACCACACATACACAACTGCTTTAATGTACCACACATACACAACTGCTTTAATGCACCACACATACACAACTGCTTTAATGCACCACACATACACAACTGCTTTAATGCACCACACATACACAACTGCTTTAATGCACCACACATACACAACTGCTTCAATGCACCACACATACACAACTGCTTTAATGCACCACACATACACAACTGCTTTAATGCACCACACATACACAACTGCTTTAATGCACCACACATACACAACTGATTTAATGCACCACACATACACAACTGATTTAATGCACCACACATACACAACTGCTTTAATGCACCACATACACAACTGCTTCAATGCACCACACATACACAACTGCTTTAATGCACCACACATACACAACTGCTTTAATGCACCACACATACACAACTGCTTTAATGTACCACACATACACAACTGCTTTAATGCACCACACATACACAACTGCTTTAATGCACCACACATACACAACTGCTTTAATGCACCACACATACACAACTGCTTTAATGCACCACACATACACAACTGCTTTAATGCACCACACATACACAACTGCTTCAATGCACCACACATACACAACTGCTTCAATGCACCACACATACACAACTGCTTCAATGCACCACACATATACAACTGCTTCAATGCACCACACATACACAACTGCTTCAATGCACCACACATACACAACTGCTTTAATGCACCACACATACACAACTGATTTAATGCACCACACATACACAACTGATTTAATGCACCACACATACACAACTGCTTTAATGCACCACACATACACAACTGCTTCAATGCACCACACATACACAACTGCTTTAATGCACCACACATACACAACTGCTTTAATGCACCACACATACACAACTGCTTTAATGCACCACACATACACAACTGCTTTAATGCACCACACATACACAACTGCTTTAATGCACCACACATACACAACTGCTTTAATGCACCACACATACACAACTGCTTTAATGCACCACACATACACAACTGCTTTAATGCACCACACATACACAACTGCTTCAATGCACCACACATACACAACTGCTTCAATGCACCACACATACACAACTGCTTCAATGCACCACACATACACAACTGCTTCAATGCACCACACCTACACAACTGCTTCAATGCACCACACATAAACAACTGCTTTAATGCACCACACATACACAACTGCTTTAATGCACCACACATACACAACTGCTTTAATGCACCACACATACACAACTGCTTTAATGCACCACACATACACAACTGCTTTAATGTACCACACATACACAACTGCTTTAATGCACCACACATACACAACTGCTTTAATGCACCACACATACACAACTGCTTTAATGCACCACAGATACACAACTGATTTAATGCACCACACATACACAACTGATTTAATGCACCACACATACACAACTGCTTTAATGCACCACACATACACAACTGCTTCAATGCACCACACATACACAACTGCTTTAATGCACCACACATACACAACTGCTTTAATGCACCACACATACACAACTGCTTTAATGCACCACACATACACAACTGCTTTAATGCACCACACATACACAACTGCTTTAATGCACCACACATACACAACTGCTTTAATGTACCACACATACACAACTGATTTAATGCACCACACATACACAACTGATTTAATGCACCACACATACACAACTGCTTTAATGTACCACACATACACAACTGATTTAATGCACCACACATACACAACTGATTTAATGCACCACACATACACAACTGCTTCAATGCACCACACATACACAACTGCTTTAATGCACTGTTGTGATTGCACTTTAAATGAACCACCAAACTTTTCCAAACTGTCTTTTGTAATATATTTTTTTAACCCGTCATATCCACGGACTGCAGGATAAATAGTCCGCGTTTTTCACAGTTAATTTGTAAATTTGTAAATGCTTAAATTTTGTTTGTGCATTGCTGTTCAGCGGTGGTCCCTCTCTCTGTTTCATGACCCGATGGGACTCGAAACCCTGACTCCCTGGACCTGAGGACTGGTCCACAGCCGTTGGGAGTTGGCGGTTCTGAGACGCCTTCTGAGACGACTGTTGTTGTGATTTCTCTGGTCTCTCTCTCTGGTCTCTCTCTCTGGTCTCTCTCTGGTCTCTCTCTCTGGTCTCTCTCTGGTCTTTCTCTCTTGTCTCTCTCTGGTCTCTCTCTCTGGTCTCTCTCTGGTCTTTCTCTCTTGTCTCTCTCTGGTCTCTCTCTCTGGTCTCTCTCTCTGGTCTCTCTCTCTGGTCTCTCTCTCTGGTCTCTCTCTCTCTCTGGTCTCTCTCTGGTCTCTCTCTCTGGCCTCTCTCTCTGGTCTCTCTCTGGTCTCTCTCTGGTCTCTCTCTGGTCTCTCTCTGGTCTCT